TGCTATGATTTGAAATGTTATGATCTAAATTATATGATTCAAAATGTTAGGATCTGAAATAGTATGATTTTAATTATATAATTCAAGTTATAAAGATTTGTTTCCAAATTTGTTATATGATTAAGAAAAATTATGATACAAAACCTACATGTCAACACAACTTTGTATGGACAACCAGAACCACCCTTGTATCGATTAATATTACAACTAGATTGTTTCCATACTATTACAAATATATAACGAGTTGAAGAAATACAAATAAGAAAAGAAAAAGTAAGAAGAATAAAAAAATATATAAACATCACAAAACTAGCAAGATTAGACAATATCACTAGCTAGACATGTAAAGAGCAATAGAAGCTCGACCATGGTGAAGCATAACTTGAGCATAATTCAGAAACCAATGAGAGGGGAACTCAATCACCAAGATAAATCATAAATGAAGCTGCAAGAAAAACCTTTTAAAAGGAACCACTTATAAAAAAACACAATTGATTATTAGTTTTGTCTTGAATGTGAGTAAGGATGACAACGGGGCCAAACATGAGCGGAAATAGTTGCCCCTGCCCCACCCCTGAAATCAGTTACTGCCCCGCCCCCGCTCCCGAATCCCTCATTTACATAGCCCCGATCCCACCCCAAATACATTCATCATCCCCCGCTCCCGCCCCTGCCACTGCCACCGTTCCCTTGTTTTGTAGGCTTAAAATTGATTTTTTTTGCTAAAAAAAATTGTTTTATTTTAGGCTAAAAAACTATTTTTCATAACTTTAAAAGCTTAAAATCTAGTTTTTTTAACAACTAAAAAAAATAAAAATTAAAAATCCAACATTACAAAATGACAAATCCAACAAATTTACAAATATAAAATACGACAAATCCAACATTACAAAAAAAAAACGACATGTCCAAAAATACATGACCAACTCACTATCGTATCGTCGTACGATATGAAATGGAAGAAAGTCAAAAAACCCTAAAATTAGATAATGTAGTGTCTATATATATTCTTATATTAAATATATATTTTTTATATAAATATATACAAACGGGCACCCGCGGCAGTACGAGACGGAAATACCCACTCCCACCTCCGGTCCTGAAAATAAAACGGGGATTAATCCCACTCCCACCCCCGAATTTTTTAAAAAATTAATTACGTACGGAATCGGGGTTTCACAAGAACGAGGTACCACGAAAGTTTTTGACATCCCTATTTGTGAGGGATGGGTCATGGGCGGTCATCGACGTTGCCCAAATATCGAAATATCGTATTTGTGCAGCTTAAATTTAAATATCATATTTATTCTTTATAATATTTTAAAATATCAAATTTGTTTAAATATTTGTTTTTAACATCTTATAATCATTTTAAATTATTATTTTTATTGAATGATTGCACCATTATACCCTTATTATAAATTTAAGTTGTTATCATATACACCCTTCATAAAATTTCAAAAAATCATATTATCAAAATTATTATTTTAATAAACTAAAAATATAAATAATTAAATCATATTAACGTTTTTATACACAACTAAAGGGTGAGTTGTATAAGAAGCTTTTTTCATGGATAAAAAGCTCTTAAATTAAAAAGAAAACAACTTCAACAAGGCTACAAAATTTGGGAATTTCATTGAGGCATTATGACGAATACCTAGAATGCAATAATTTGTATCTCAACTAGTTTATCTTGTTTTGTTTCTTCACGTAGCTGTTTAACAACGAACCAATCAAATACAATTTAAATTTTCAACTCAAAAAAAAAAACCCTTCAAGAATAAACCAGTTATATAGGAGCTGTAACAAAAGCCAAGGATTGAAAAACCTCCGAATAAACTTATTTACAAAATTGACCATACAACCAATCAACAAGTAGGAAACGAGAAAAAATACATTCGATTTATCGAGGATGGTATTTCAACGTAGTCAAGTCAACTTCAATTAACATAACAAACTCATCCCCATCGTCACAGTTCACAGACACGATTTATCAACATCAGATGTCCATCTTCAGTTAACTTACTCAACTACATCTGACCAGAGTCTGATACGACAGCAACGTTGCTAGAGGTGGCCGGTGGTGACAAGGGGAAGAGATGGCGTAGACGCACCATGATTGGAGAACTCCGAATTCTGAAATGCTAGCTAGGGATGAACAACGGTTAGGACCCGGACCGGACCCGCCCGAAGACCAAAAACCTGAAGACCGAAAATTGTGAGTTACCTTACCTGAAAACCGAACCGTTTTTTGTGTATCGGGTCCGGGTTCGGTTCGGTCCGGGTCTGGGTATTAAACCGGGTTTCGGGTTTTAGACCTAATTAGACTTTGGCTGTGTTGTTTACAATTTTGGTATGGTCCTATTTCGGGCACCAATCTCGGTTTCACATTTTTATTGTTTATGTTTCGTGTTTTTTGTTTGTCATATTACTCTCGTTTCTAGCATACTATTTCAAATTATAATATTAGAGCATCTAGGTCAAAACTATTGTCAGGTCACTACTTTATTTTTATTGACCTCTAATTAAATTGTTTCTCCAATGGTTAAACTTTCTTTATGACTCTTTTTTTTTTAATTTAACTATTTTATCTTTATCTATCTAAAATATTATATAAAACCCTCTCGTTTAACTAATCGTTTTTTAAACACATCATATTTTAATATAAACATTCATTTATGTACGAATGACTTACTGATTACGATAATTTATATTTATATATTGTATATTTGTTTATCTATAAATTTTAGATAAATAATAAATAAATCAAAGTAAATCAAATGTAGAAAATGAAATAGTTTTAAAAAGAAGGGTTTGATTGTTCAAACCTTTAAACTATATTGACCACTCAATATATATTGAATAGTCAATAAAAATAAGCAAATAAGTTATACACTCCAATGATGTTTAATTATTTTGACCATTTAAGCAAATAGTAATAAGCTTTAAATTCCGACGCTTTGGATTGGTTTCTTGGTTCCTTGATTAATAATGATTATCTATTGAACTTTTCCATATATATATATATATATATATATATATATAATATATATATATATATATATATATATATATATATATATATATGAATGCAAATAAAATAAGGGAAATCTTGAGAAAAAAGTCCTAAAGTTTTGGGCAAATTTATGATCTAGTCCTAAATTAAATTTCATTAATGAAAAAGGACAGGAAACCGGCTATTGTAATCACTTTTACCATTTTTACCTTTTGCAGCAGGTAAGGTTATCTGCTGAGTAGCATGCCACATGGACTGTTTGGCTGAGGTGGCAACTGATGTGGCATGCCCTTTCTTTATAATGTAAAAAAACTGCTCAGCATGCCACATAGACTGTTTGGCTGAGGTGGCAGCTGATGTGGCATGCCCTTTCTTTATAATGTAAAAAAACTGATTTTTTAGAGAAAAAATGGAAGGACTCGAACCCGTGACCTTCCACTCCCAAACCATACACCTTACCATGTGAGCCAGAAGCATTTATTGCTATTACTTCTTCAAATGAATTTATAAAGTCTTTATAATTTACCCTTACACTAGTTATATTGCGAATCTGTACATATTATCCCAATTATCTCTGTTAGCTTACACTGTAAATAGCAATGTAAAGAAACGATCTAAAAAATGTGACCTGTACAAGCTGATTTCCATGGTCGCTGAGTTTAATTTCGCGAGTGATCTAAAATAGATTTAAGAAACAAATCCTTAGATTTTGTATTTGATTCTTCTTTCTATTCTTTTGGTACAGATTAGGAAAACAGACTGATTCGAATCGAAGTTAGAAGAAAGTTGGGGAGAAGAAGAAGGGTTAGAGGGAGAAAGATGCGAATTTTTAGATGGTAATTAAGGGTAAATTATAAAGACTATAAGTTCATTTGAAGAAGTAATAGCAGTAAATGCTTCTAGCTCACATGGTAAGGTATATGGTTTGGGAGTGGAATGTCCTGGGTTCAAGTCCCCTCCCATTTTTTCTCTAAAAAATCAGTTTTTTTTTACATTATAAAGAAAGAGCATGCCACATCAGCTGCCCTTTCAGCCAAACCGTATATATGGCATGCTACTCTGCAAAAGATAAAAAGGGTTAAAATGATTACAGACTTTTCTGGAGATTTCCCGTAAAATAATTAACATTATATCAATCTGATTTTTTTTAAATCGATGTCTAGTAAAATTAATGTTACTCAATATATTGCAATGAAATAAATGTAGTAAGTTTTATGTTGTGTTATTCAAAACAAATACCAATATATTTTGGTGAAAAAATAAAGTAATATAAACAATTAATCATATATTTTTTATTATATATTTCATTTACTTCATAAAAATTTTTATTTAATTTTTATAATCATTAAAAGACGATAACAATAATGAATTAGATCCTTAAAATTCATTTATTTTTATTTAGAAACATCATAAATATACAATTAGATTAGTAATAAATATTTGTAGGCAATATCAATAAAATGAATTAAGGTGAAAATATTTTCCGGTCCGGTTTGGGTTAAATCCTGTATTCAGGTCCGGTTTGGTCCAAACCCGAAACCCGATTAATGGTAAAACAAAACCCGAAAACCGGCCCACTAATATGAATATCTGGTCCGGTCCCGGTTTTTTTCCGGTCCGGTCTAACGGGTCGTATGCTCATCCCACAATATGCGAAAATATGATAAGAGAAGATGATTGCAAGAATATATGATTAGGGAGAATACTGTAATTTCCATAACTATAATGTTTTTAAAAATTTTAAATGATTATAAAATATTTAAAAGAATGTTAAAAATAAGTATTGAGCAAATTTGATATTTTGAAATTATATAAAGGGTATTTCGAAATTAGACTTAGATATATACCAAATTATCCCGTCTATATTAACTAAGAGTAGAACGTAATTGTATAAATAAAAATGTAATCCTTAATTTCATGTACCAAAAGATGCAAGCTACAATAGGTGTATTAAATCAAAAAAGAAAATTTTGAAACAGCTTCAATAGCTGGTAAAGTTGAAGTTCGCACAAGAAGTCTTGTTGCGTAATAAGGAAGAACTGAACCCTAAACTAGAATTGTCAAGATCAAACAGCAGAAAGTTATCCTCCATCTGAAACGCCCCGATCACGATCCCATGTTCACTTGTTGCACCACCATCAACAAACGCAAGACATGCCACATCTTTTGTTACTTGTTTCATGGAATTACTCGAGGATATTCTCCATTTCTTCCCATCTTGAAGTCTTAAAACGATATTAGGAACCTGCAAACTGACATGGGAGTGTCCAATTCGATGCTTTAAACAAAGATCAAATGGTGCCACTGGCCTTGCACGAAGGATTCCCATTGTAGCGACTGAAAACGTATGAACCAGCTGCTTATAAATGTCTGATCTAAGAATGGTGTAAGCCTCAATCGTACTTAGCTTCGTGGTGCTGTTTGAAACATCAATAGACCTTCCCTTAACCAGAATCGATTTGACACCGATAAAATAACCAAAAGAATCTGGATACTTGAGTAACGGAGTATAAGAGAGTAAACTTCTTAGATCTACATCTGAGTTGGGATGAAAGTAATAGGGTCCAATCCCAAAGAACATAACTCCATGAGCAGACAAGGAGCTAGGCAAACATAGAGCCAAAGTAGTATTAAAAGGTTGGAATAAATAAGCGGGTATTGCATACTGTGATGTGGAAAATGCCATTACACCACTAACATTTGCAGGGAAGGACTCAAACATGGAAGATGGAGCACATGCCGCGTTAGGGTAAACACCAAAGAAATCTTGAAAAGAGTTTCTACCATCAGTTCCATTGAAAGCAAAAGTGTCGTAGTTGAGCAGGGCTTGACCACATATCCCGTTAATTGGGTTGACCACATTGACAGGGCATGTGCAGTCTCCCCAACCAGGTAATGTCGATGTGTTGGTTACTGGAAGACATGAAGGACTTTCATAAGAGTATGATGTACGGACGACTGTACATTGATACTCTTGACAAGAAACTGGGCCAGTGCAAGAGGGGCAAATGTTGTTTGTATACAAACTATTCCAGTCCACGATGCAGTCGTACCATGTGAAAGGAGCGTCTATGTCTATAAGAAAGTTTTTATGCAAGAAGTGTGCGTTTACCCATGCACTCATAATTTGAATGCTATAGAGAGGTGTTGCAGTATCGGTATGTTTGGTTATTGGAGCAACATATGTACTAGCTATGGCTTGATGTTCATGTGAGATGAAGGCCAGAAGGATAATGATTAGTCGTAGATGAAAAAGCATTTTTGGATGTTTTTAAGGCATCCCACTTTGTAATTTTGGGAAGGGGGTAAAGCGGATTAATTTATAGAGATATTTAAAGAAAAGGCAGTCGGTTTTACTGGAAGTAGAAGCCATTGACCCAAAAATAATCAGAATCTTCAAAAGCAAGCAGTAGAACATGGCCAAGAGTTGAGAAACTTCAAACGCAAGCAGTAGAACATGGCGAAGAGTTGAATATATGAATGTTACATATTAAAGAAATCGTCGCTTGAATTTGAAAATTAGTTGAACTTTATGTCAAAACCTACTACAAAAAGCCTCAAAAAAACCCGGTTAAAAGTTTTATATAACCCGGTTTGCAACCGGGTTTCTTATGGGCGAATCTTATTCAAAAAAAACTAATGGAACCCGGTTTTTCAACCGGGTCATATGTTCATAATAAAGCCCGGTTTCTATGTTTAAAACAAGACAAAATCAAAAATGTCTTTGTGCTTGTCAAAATTATATGGTTTTGGTCCAAAAAGGTTTCATGGTGCATAAGTGGTCCAATATTGGATCTTTTTAGTGATTTTAGTCTCTATACACTTGAAATTACTTTTATACCCTTATAGTTTATATCTTCTCCCAATTACTCCCATACCTTCTAAGCTTTTCTCTAACACATCCTAGGTGTTAGAAGCGAGTCCCAGAGTGCCAGAAGGCTCCGAGAAGAAGAGCTTTCGGCTCGAAAGTTTTGCCCCCGCAGAGCCTTGTTCCTAGCCAAACCTCATAGTAAGTGAGTTATGCTTATCCTACTTTAAGTATAGCTTATATTTAAGCTCAATATCATTATTATGAACTTATAAAAAAGATATATATTATAAAATATAATACACAAAGTGTTATTATAATATCTTTTAACTACTCGCGGTACGGGGAATCTGGTTTGAAGGGGCCGCATAGGGTTGTTGGATTTCAGAAGTGCTATAATGCCAAAATGGTCCTGTCCTCCGGTGGTTCATGTCTGCCGCTGTCTGCACATAGTGGTTGAAAAGTATTGTTTAACACTTATAAAAAATATCGCTCGTAAATAGTCTCAATAAATATTAGACTAAAATATAGTGGTAATAACACTAGGTTGCATCGAAGGAAAATAGAATCGTCAGAAGCGAAGCGCTGCCCGAGTTTGGAATCATCACTTTAACAAGTAAGTGCATAGTTACTTTCATCTTACACATAGCTATAAAGTATTTAATATAAATCACGTGCTATGTGTGCATATTATATGTGTTCTTGATATCTATGCTGGATGAACCGAATATACATGTTTTATTTGATTTAAACTATATATGTATTTCATACCTATAAAAATATTGGATAAAGATGGGTAGATGAATGATGAAGGATGAAAGATGATATAGATGAACATTGGCAGGTATGAACTTAGTGCCCCATAGATAAACGTTGGTAGCTGCGCCACAACCTGTAGATGTTTTTGTAGTATGATGTACTCTAAACATCCTAGCAGCTGCGCCTAAAGGATAATATCGGTAGATGCGCCTAATAGAGAACATCAAAATCCTGGCAGCTAGGCCTAAAGGATAATATCAGCAGTTGCGCCTAATAGAGAACATCACAATCCTGGAAGCTACGCCTAAATGATAATATCGGCAGCTACGCCTAATAGAGAACATCATAATCCTGGCAGCTACGCGTAAAGGATAATATCGGCAGTTGCGGCTAATAGAGAACATCTCAATCCTGGCAGATGCGCCTAAATGATAATATCGGCAGCTACGCCTGATAGAGAACGTCATAATCCTGTCAGCTGCGCTTGAATGATAATATTGGCAATTGTGCCTAATAGATAACATTGGCAGCTGTGCCATAGGCAACGATCGACTTCGTGCATATTCGTTAGGAGAATCTTTAGGAATGAATGAGTGAATGATAGATGATTCTTAAGGTAGGTCCTTAAGAAATAAAGAAGATAATGGGGATAGGTAATTGGGTTAATTATGTGATGATGAAACATAATAACTTTATTATTGTGGGTTGAAAACCCTATGTACTCACCAGGCTTCCCAACATGACCCACTCAGTTTATTTGTATCATAGGTGTCGATACGAAGCTACATTACACTGAGAGATTAAAGGAGATGTAGATCACTACTGTAAATGAATGTAAGGTCTGTGTTTCCGCATCGACAATGACATCCCAAAGATTTAATATAAACAAAATACATTTCTTCGGAAATGCTTTGATACTATATTTATCATGTTTTTCTGGGAACAAATTCTGCAATATTATTCTTTAAAATGAATACTCTGATTTTCGAATAAGCATAAATAAAACTTTTAAAATGACCGTGAAAATAGGGATGTTACAGTTGGTATCAGAGCATTAGTTTAAGCGAACTAGGAATAAGGATTTGTTTCTAGACTTCAACTTAGAATGCAAAGCGATGACCGTGATGAGTGTGTCTAATATATTTTAGGAAGTACACCTGAATAGACACAAGCACTAGCTTATTTTAGGAAAGATGCCTAAATTGCTCTTATGTGCTAAATGAATTATGTTATAGCTATAAAGATGCCTTATATTGATCGGTTCTATGGTCTGTTGCCGACCGAATCTGGAAACTTTATTTGTTCAGATTTCTAAACGTTTACTTACATATTAGAAATGGCATATAACTTTTCGAAGTAATAAGGAGGAATACGCGTCTAAACCATCCTTTATCTATATTCTCATCTCGATACATCGAACGACTGCTTTGGTGTACAGAATGTCATGATAAGGACTCATAGTGGACTGGGCAAATGGAGGAAATGAGAAGGCTTACAATGGTGAATGATACCTATCGGAAGATATCGTAAGAGTGGTAACTTTCCTTTAGAATACGTTTTAATAAAATAACATTACGCATGGAGGAGTACGGTACATCCGAATGTACACATTTGATTGGCGGGATGATACAACGATTGGTGTAGTTCCTAAAGTTATCCCACCATATGGCATTTCCACCACCAACCGAGTTGAAGCAGAATTGATGATTGAAGATACGCATGGAAGAAGTCCTAGTAGAGTCTAGGGAAAATTATATGATTGTTTGGACACATTTGTATGTGTTAAAACTGTTTTGTGATAATAACTTGGAGAACCGATAGACTATACTTGGGACGAGTATGAGTAGGTGTGAAAGGTAGAGTAGAGGCCTATACTACCGGAAGCACAAGACTCACACTTGGATCAGAGAGAGTCTGTAACGTCGTAATTTTCAAAACAATTTTTCATTTTTAAAATCATACTTTCAATCACACGATAAACACAAAACATAATGTATCCACTGTGTCATAACAAAACATGTCCCAGAATCTCAATAACATAAACTCCATAAGTGTGTACTGATCATGCCGGCGCCTTCCCGCGATCCTCTCTAGTACCTGAAACACATATCACAACAACTGTAAGCATAAATGCTTAGTGAGTTCCCCAAAATACCACATACCACACATACGCCTTTCCAGGCCATAACTCTGTAGGATCTTCCGATCCATGTGTCTCAGGGGACTTCCGTCCCGAATCCTGGTAGACCTTCCGGTCCTACCCGTATCGACCTTCCGGTCTGTAACCTCCTGACCTTCCGGTCCATATCAACCTGACCTTCCGGTCCTTACCATACATAACATACATAGCACATACATATCACATAACCGCATATAGCACATACATCATAGCATACAAGACCTTCCGGTCACACATAGGTACCCTTCGAGGTACAGTATAGTGAGAAGACTCACCTCAATGAAGTCGGATAAACTCTCGTGCTCAACGTCCTGACCTAGCCTCCTCCTATTATTCAAATAACATTCCTGATCAATATTCTCTCATAGCCTCATCTCTACAGATTGGGTAGAAGGCCATTCTATCCTTCCCTGAACTCTCTTGAATCAGTCTTGACCAGAACCCTAAAGTCAACGGTCAAACTTTGACCCGACTCGTCGAGTGCACAAGGGCGACTCGGCGAGTCCAAGCGGGTCCTCTGAATCCTTTCAGCCTCTCTTGGCTCGTCGAGTCATCGACCCACTCGACAGGTTACACCTGTCACGAATCGCGGGGCAACCCCGACTCAACTCGTCGAGTCCACTTATGGACTCGACGAGTTGCTCCCATAACAACTCTCAAATGACCTTCTGAGGTCAGATCTGTTTCTCTAACCTATAGATCTGGCCTTCCCCACCACTATAATCACGTAAAGGTCCGACCTTTACACTCATGCAATGTCCAATAAGCTCTTTTGGGTGAAATAACCTCTAGAATGGCATTCTAGGGTCATATCTCTAATGGAGTAGCAAAAAGCAAGGTAGATAGGACTCTCTGGACCTCTTAAGGTCCAGATCTAAGAAGAAATCCACCTAGGGACTTCACATACTTCGAATCCAAGCCAAAGAAGGCATAAGAAAACCCTAGATTCAAGTATATCACCAAATACACGAGATTGAGCACAGATTAGTACCTCTAACAGCCTCTTCTGATCAAAAAGGGTGATAGATCTGAGCTCCTCAATCTTCCTTGTTTGTCCTCCTTCCTTCTTTCTTGCAAAAACACACTTAGAATGATGAATTAGCCCTCCTCTTGCACTACCAGCTTTCTCTCTGCTCTCTAGGGTTTCTCAGGGGTGCATTGGCCGCAAATGGAGGCTATAAAGGCCTTTAAATAGGGCACAGACCCCGAGAATTAGGGTTTCACTTTACAGTGCGGACTCGCCGAGTCCACGCATCGACTCGCCGAGTCCTTCATTAAATCAGACAAGAAATGTGCGATCCTACTCGGCGAGTCTGAGCGCCTACTCGCCGAGTCCCTCCCTAAAACTCAAGATAAATACTTAAAATAAGATACCTGGGAATCCGGATGTTACAATTCTCCCTCACTAGAATTTAGACTTCGCCCTCGATGTCTTGCTCGTCAAACAACTCTGTATGCTGCTCCTGCATCTCCAACTTCGGCTCCCAAGTCAGCTCGGACCCTCTCTGATGTT